TTTACTTTTTTGAACATTAGTTAAAAAAAAATTAAAGCGATTTGAACTGTGAAAAATAAAAATTATTTTTTTATATTTTTGGGATTTGAAATGTATTATATTTTATTATATAAATAATTTTAATTATTTTTAATTGAAAACATAAAATAAATTCTATAATAAAATAAAAATAGGTATGTATCATTTGTTTTAATAGATATTAAAAAGAAGAAATGATACTAAAAATAATTTTTTGGTACCGTACTTTGATTTCTCTTCCAATACGACTTGTGAAATTTTTTGTTGATTTTATTATTGTTTTGATCAATAATCACAACAAATTAAGATAAAATTCTCTATAATAAATATTTTTGAATTTCAATATAGCATAAAATAATAAAAAATTTATTTTCAAATCACCACAATCGATGTGGATAGTTGTTTATGGGTTTGTATAAGTAGACAACTTGTTTATTAATTGGGCATGTTTGTTTCGTTTTAAGAAAAAAAGTGAGAGAAACACACAAAGCACCCTGCATGTGGGAACACAGCAGGTTGTCTTGTGTGACGTAAACTCTTAGAATAACACCCGTTCACCATACTGTCGGCCTAAACACAACCACAAAAACAACAAAAAGGTGAGGGTAAATTGCATTCACCTCCGTTGAGGTTTGTCCAAATAACAACTAGGCCCCTCAGATATGGATAATAAGGTGGAGCTTTGCATGACAACTGAAATTTGAAGAACAGTCCACATACATTGTCATAGATTCCTAACTACAATTAATTTATTATATTGTACCCTAAGTTCTTGAAAATTTGTAGAGTGGCCCAAATCTTTTTTTATTTTTAATAAGTTAGCGGTTCACCCGCTCCCTTAATCTACAACAACATATATTTTAACCGAGTAAAACTTTTGTAAATGCCCTAACTTATATATTGACTAAAGACAATACAACAATTATTTTAGCCATTCTTTTGTTTTAAAACTAATTGTATAGTTGTCTGTAATTTTTTTGATAAGTAAGTAGCTCGTAATTTCGTAACATACGAATAGACGCAAATGGTAAAATATACTAACCCCAAACTACCAATGCCTTTCCAAAAAAATTAATTTCGTAAAAAGATTTAAAAAATTATTGAAAAATTTTATCATAAAATTGAGATTCATCAAGATCCAAGGACATTAAATATGACAAGTGAAAGGAAATTCAAATGAAGAGGGTCTGGATCACATGGCTTACATACATTATCAAAAGAAAAACAAAGCCCCTCTCACTATGTATGTGGAACATGTTTTTTTAATAATGTGATAGATTAGATTATTAGTGGAAAACTATATTGTATTTCACGTCAAAGGCCTTTTTCCAATTAAATAGCAGAAGCTGATAAAGAAATTTAGTCTTGATGGTGCAAGAAAACAGTGAGTCAAAGGGTTTTGAGTGTTGGATAATTATGAGTGTGTCACTTGTGAAATCAGCCACAGGGTAAAAAAAATAGATAAGACGGCGAGTGGTTCACCAAGCTGAATAGCTAACCTAATTCATTGTCAATGAAATCTCTTACTCTGGTATTTGTTGTACTCATAAGAAAAGAAGAAGAGGGTGATTATAGAGGGTTGGATCCCTTTGCAATTAGGCATCGTTTTCTATTTATACAAGAGTTGATTTTTATCTGCTTTCATGATTGTATGGTTTCCTCAATCCGTTAGAATTATTGAAAAATATTTAGCCGTTAGAGACAATCATATCTGCAACACACATGGACATGTAGAAATAGTGAGGTGATATTCTTGAGGTGGTAACTTGCCCCCAAGGTATGATACGTTTGCTGAGCTTTTCTTCTTCTTCCGGTAGCTAAATTCAAGCTGTTCATTCATAGCCGAGTTGCTTGAATACCGAGTGGCGACATGAGAGGAGTTATTTTACTCGCGCTGGACTATCTAGGACATGTGAATTTAGCTGAGCTCAATAATGCTGAGCTATGATGGTTTGTGTTGAGTTGTGATGGTTTGAGCTGATGAGCTGTGATTTATGGTATCATCAAGTCTCATAACCATCACAGATTAATTCAGTTAATCACATAATCCGTCAAAACAGTCAACACTTTCTGAGAGTAAATTCTCTATAAATTTGTACTCTTATTTTATAAAATATGCGAATTCAATTTTTTAATTCGTGAATTCACGTTCTTACTTACTTATATGTTTATTTATTATTATTTAAATTTTTATTTGAAAAGTATTGAGTTATGCCTAAAATACATATCAAATTAGAATGATATTTGTAACCTATAATTATTATTTTAGGACCTCATAATCAATATATATTTAAAAATAAAATAGTTTATCACAGTAGTGAAAGAAATTTAACTTTTTATATTTAATTATTATAATTTTTTATAGGTGAATGCGTGTCTGTATGCATATAATATAACACTTTCAAGTTGCTTCCGTTCTTATTATTTTTTTTTTTGAATTTTGCCTTTTTTGTACTCCCGCTCTCGTTTTCACTCTCACTTTTGCTCTATGATCTAGCCGTCTGTCACTTCGGATACCCAGGGTTTCACTTCCTAACTGAAATAGGCACCAGTATTTTGAATGTCTTGAAAAAAGCAACTAGATCGTGCTTGACATAAAGTACACATAAATGTTCGATGGGGGAGAGTGGATCTTTGAGTTCATCTATCAAAAGAGTTGGCACCCTTAGGCACAAGATCTTTCCTCGTGTGGAAAGGCTTCTCGTTGACATCAATTTGCCAGGTGATTTTTTCCAACTCTTCAATTCTAAGTAAGGGATTGCAAAATTTTTGTGACAACCCTAATGTTAATGTTTATATGTTTGTCCCACATCGATTAGGATAGAAAATTTTACTACTCTCTTGTATTATAAATCAACCTCCTAATGTATATGGTAAAGTTCACAAAAGTAATATATATTTAATATTTATTTTTTTTCTCTTATTTCACTTGGTATCAAAGCGTATGCTAGTGAGTCCTCTAGTCAAGGATAGTAAGTTTTGTAGTTGTCCTCTGGTCAAGGATAGTAAGTTTTGTAGTTGTCCTGCAAGGGATTCTTCATATCAAAACTCTTGAGGCTTTTCTCTTTTGGGCTATCCTCAAATAACATCTTCCAATTATTCTCCAAAGTTGTTCCAGATATCCTCCGACACTAAAGTAGGGCATCACTCCGACGATCTCCGATGCCGTTCCAATCGTCCTCCGTCGACTTTTCGATCACCTCCAGCCATCTTCTAATGATCTTTCGGTTGCCCTCCGGCAATGCTCTGACCTGCCCTTGTTATCGAGGACGACATTTCGGTCGTTCTCTGGCGATCTTTCGTTCACCTTCAGCCATCCTCTGATGACCTCCAGTTGTTGTCAACAACCCTCCGATGACATTCTGATTTGCTGCGACCATCCTCTAACGACCTTCTGGTCCCCTTCTTACAACGTTCTAACCTATCCCGATTACCTTCCTTCGACGTTTCAATCGTCCTTCGTCAATGTTGCAATCGCCTATCAACCATCATCTGGTGACCTCCGGTGATGTTTGGATTGTCTCCCAACCATCCTCTGGTGACCTTCAACTGTCCTCCGACAACCTTCTGATCGCCCTTTAGTGACATTCTAGCCTGCCACGACCATCCTTCGATGACTTTCTGGTCACCCTTTGACAATGTTCTGACCTGTCCCGGCCATCCTCCGATAACTTTCTAGCTACCCTCCTACGATGTTTTGACCTACCCCAACCATCTTTTGGGTATCCTCCGACAACGTTCTAGTTGCCCTCGGGCGATGTTCCGATCACCTCTTGGCCATCCTCTAGGGACCACAAGGTATCCTTCGACAACTTTTGGGTCTTTTTTTGACGACATTCCGACCTACCCTGGTTGTCCTCTGGTGACCTTTCAATCATCCTCCTGTGACATCCTAATCTATTCCTAACCATCCTCTGAAAAAGTTACAATCTGTTCCAGCCATCTTCTTATGACGTTTCGACCTGCTTTAGCCATCCTTTAGCGAGGTTCTAACTTGTTCTGACCATCCTTCGACGAGATTCTGATCTGCTCTGCCATCTACTGATGATGTTCCAACCTGCTCCAGCCATTTTTCGGTGACGTTCCGATTTGCTCCGACCATCATCCTCCGACGTCTCGATATGTTTCGATCATCTTCTGGCGACGTTCTGATATGTTCTTTCCATCCTCCAACGACTCTCTGATCTTTATTTTGACAACCATAGTGCTATTGCTCGCAATGATGTCTGAGTGCATAAAATGAATCAAGATCGATTGTCATTATGTGCAACATCACCTACAGGAAGGCAATCTTTATCTTTTTTTGGTTGCTTCAGCTAATCAGTTAGCTGATATCTTCACAAAGGTTGATTCACCCGGTCGCCATCATGATTTAGTTTGCAAACTCCAATTGGCACCTTTGATCTCACCTTGAATTTGAGGGAGAATGTTAATGTTTTATATGTTTATATATTTGTTCCATTTCGGTTAGACTAGAAATCTCACTACTCTCTTGTACTATAAATTAACCTCATCATGTATATGGTTGAGTACAGCAAAACAATATACATTTAATATTCATTTTCTATTATCTTATTTCACTCCTGAACAACCCCCCCCCCCCCCACCACACGAAGAGTAGATAGTGCATCATGTATTAATATTTATAGTACTCATGAATATCAGCTAATTAAAAAAAATGATTCATCAATTAGAAGGAATGAAGTTTTAGTGAAATATTATGACTAGTTTTTTTAGTTTTACGATATTGAGTCCAATCCTCGCAAGTCACTTAACGACCCCTTTTCTGCTCCTCAAGAATACGCTAGACACAACAAAATATGCAAAAAGATAAATTAGTGCAAAAGTTTCTTTCATTATAGAATTTGAAGAGGGTCAAACATAATTAGCTTACCTCGCATAAAAAAAAAGTACTTCTATGATTTAAACCCGTGATGTTTAATCATAATAAAGATACATAAAAAAAAAAAAGAAGAAGGAGAAACTACCTAAAAATATTATTAACAAAACCAAGAGTAAGATCTCATTCAGTACATTTCTCCTCCATTTTTGTTCTTAATAGTTCATAAACCATAAATCCAAGTTTATGTAAGACACATTCTATATAATTGAATCTCTCATCAACATATGATCAACAATTTATCAAAAAAATAAAGAAAAAAATATTCGAATAAATCTGAATCCATAATAAAGATCCTCGTGAAAAGTTATGTCGAGTTTTGGACTTTTGACTCTTCTCTTAAAATTTTATGGGAGTATTTAATTAGCTTTGGTACAACCACTTTGGCAAGGTCACAAGAACCTTGAAGTAGTATGGTTTCATGGGACTATCTACATATTTTGGCTAACAAATAATATTAGGCATCAGAAACCACATGGTTTAATATTGTGGTTAAGCTGGCTCCAAAAAATAAATAAAATAAATATGGTAGTTGAGCTTTCATTATATAACCAGTTTTAAAAAAAAAAACTCACTATTTATTTGTAAGAAGAGCACAGCCAAACAAGATTCTCCAGTTTTCATGTCTCTAGTTTCATTAAAAGTTCATCTATTAAGCAAATCTTGACAAAGAGTGGGACCATTTAAGCATAATATATAAACTAGCATATTTATTGCAACTATTTTTTTTTACAAAAATACTAATTTCAAACTTAATTACCAAATTAACTATTGTTCGTTCAATGAAAGCATATTTCCGATACACATTTCTATGTAAACACAACACTTAAAAGTGTGTTTGCAAGACACGACTTTACATTGAAAATCGTGTTTCAAAAACGCCCATTGCTTTCATTGAAATAATGGTAATATAGTAAATAAATTTGAAATTATTTTTGTTAAAAAAATTAAAAAACTACCATAAACCAGTAAAAAATTCTAAACTCGCATATCTTGATTTTCAGCCTTCCTAAATAACTAAACTTGCATTCGAGATTGCCATAAATTTTAAAAATGTACAATTTGGATGATTTTCTTTGAAAAAATTTACATCATTGCATGGAATTCAAATAGCTAGTTCCTCGTCTACATTGCAATAGTTGAAATAAAAAAAGTCATGGTTAGGAAACCTATACCATTTAAGAAAATTCAAAATTTAATGCTAGACATAGTAATGTAAGAAAAAGGATAAGCTAATGCACGAGTCTTCCATCATTGCAAGATGGGGAGAGGGTCAAATATAATTAACTTACCCCACATACAAAGATATTATTTCCATATTTTCCATGATATTTGATCATAATAAAGATACATCAAAAAAATAAGAGTAAAGTAACACTTGGAATATGTGAAAGGGATACTCAAACTCAAAGTAGAGTCCCGTATATATAGCCAAAAATAATACAGAGTGACTTAAACATCCTTGTAGTTTAGGCAAAATATAAAAATCATAGTAAGGGTAAAAAAGAGAAAAGAAATCCTAATAAACCTAGACTACTATCTATACTCCAACACTCCCCCTCAAGCTAGGCGCAAAAATGTCAACTAAGTCAAGCTTGACAACAGAGTCCCGAAGAATAGGCAGAGTGACAGGTTTGGTAAAAACATCCGCAACTTGATCACTGGTCCCCACAAACGATGGAGTAACAAGACCACTGCTGACCTTCTCCCGAAGAAAGTAAACATCGATCTTTATATGCTTCGTTCTCTCATGTAGTACAGAGTCAGAAGCGAGCTGAATAGCAGATTGATTATCACAATATAATGTGGATGGAGAGGTCACTGAAAAACCCAACTCGTCAAGAATCGATCGTAGCCAGATAATCTCACATGTGCCAAGTGCCAATGCCCGATACTCTGCCTTTGCGGACGAGCGGGAGACAACTGCCTGCTTCTTGCTCTTCCAAGAGATAAGATGAGTCCCTCGAAAAGCACAGAAACCCGTAGTAGATCGACCATCACATGCTCCCCCATAATCTGAATCTGAATAACAGGCTAGAGAACCGGTCTGAGATCCTGATGCATAAAACAATCCAAGTCCAGGACAAGACTTGAGGTACCGAAGAATATGATAAACTGCATCAAGATGAGGCTGACATGGCCTATGCATGAACTGACTAACTCGGCTGACTGCGAATGAAATGTCCGGCCTAGTATTGGCTAAGTAGATAAGTCTACCTACCAATCTTTGATAAACTGTCGGATCTTTCAACTCCTCACCTTCAGCAGTAAGCTTCAGGTTTGGAATCATAGGTGATGATGCCGGTTTGCACCCCAACATCCCAGTGTCTGAAAGAAGATCCAAAACATACTTTCTCTGAGAAAGAACAATACCTCTGCTTCTACGGACAACCTCAATCCCAAGAAAGTATCGCAGAAATCCAAGATCCTTCACATCGAAGGCCTTCCCAAGGTCTATCTTGACCTGCGCAGTCCCAGAAATATCATCACCAGTAATAATAATATCATCAACATATACCAGAAGGATGACACACTGTCCAGAAGTATTCCGTCGAATAAAGCAGGTATGATCAGAATGACATCTGGTGAACCCCAATCGTATGACTACATCACTGAAGTGAGAGAACCAGGCTCGTGGCGACTGTTTCAGTCCATAAAGAGACTTACGCAGTCGACATACCTTTCCAGCATACTCCCCCTCACCACGAAAGCCCGGTGGTGCATCCATATAAATAATCTCGTCCAGATCACCGTGAAGAAACGCATTCTTCACATCTAATTGATGAAGGGGCCAAGAGTACTCCGCAGCCAGAGAAATAATTAACCGAACAGTAGTCAATTTTGCCACGGGGGCAAATGTAGCACCAAAGTCACGACCTGGTACCTGAGTAAAGCCTTTCGCCACAAGTCTAGCCTTGTAACGATCAATAGTACCATCTGCCAGAAACTTCAGGGTGTAAACCCAGCGACAGCCAACAGGCTTCACCCCTGAAGGTAAGGAGACAAGATCCCATGTATGATTACGCTGAAGAGCGTCCATCTCTGTCTGCATGGCAAGAACCCACTGGGGCTCCCGCATAGCTTCCGAAATAGAGCGAGGAACCAGCGTATCTGATAAGGCCATAGTATAAGCTCGAAATGTGGGAGACAGATTACCATAAGAAACATAAGCAGAGATCGGATATAAAATCTTGGCGGTCCAACCATATCGATCAACTGGACGGCGATCACGCCTTGGATAACGACGCCCTAAATCACCATCCTCTACTGATAATATCTTATCAGGTAAAGTAACTGGCTCAGCACCTGTAATCTCATCAGTACTAACAACAGGTGCATCAATATGCTCAACAAACTGAGAAGTATTACCTGCATCGCCTGAGGTAGAGGGGATATCAGCAGGGTGATGAGAGCGAGGACAACGAGCATACACCTGCAAAGGAAGAGAGACTGGTAACTCTGTACTGACAGGGATGAGTGACTCCTTGGGAGGAAAAACGGATGACCCTGTAGGGATAGTGATCAATGACTCTGACTCTTGTGGTAATGGGAAGTCAAAGGGAGTATCATCAACTGGAGGGGCAGACAAAGGACTGAAAGGAAAATAAGGAATATGCTCAAGAAAGGTAACATCTAGACTGTGATACATACGACGCCTAATAGGATCATAACAGCGATACCCCTTAGATTGATGACAATAGCCCACAAAGATACAACGAATCGCTTTATCATCAAGTTTATGACGAGTAGGAGACCGATCCTGAACAAAACATGTGCATCCAAAAACACGAGGGGGGACCGGAAAAAGTGTCCGCTCAGGAAATAAGACCTGTAAGGGAGCCTTATGCTGAAGAACACGACTCGGCGTACGATTGCACAGAAAGGTAGAAGTCAAAACAGCAAAATGCCAATAAGATTTTGGTACCCTCATGCCTCTAAGCAGACAACGTACCATCCCTATCAAACTCCTATTTTTCCTCTCAGCAACACCATTTTGCTCAGGAGTATATGGACAAGTGAGTTGCTGAAGGATACCCTGAGAAGAAAGGTGAGACACTAAAGCATCAGACACATATTCTTTGGCATTATCCGAACGAAGAGCACGAACAATGACATCGAATTGTGTCTTAATCATCTGTAAAAACTGAGTGATTATAGGGAGCACATCAGACTTCCTATGCAAAAGGTAGACCCAAGTACAACGG